TAGTTATTAAATAACATCCGACAGTACAAATAAACTCACAAAAGTTTTTCCATGTACCGCCGATTCGTAACTTCGACTATGTTCAATCGGTTCGCGTAGCGACAACTTACATAATGATACATACATGCTGTGACAAAATTTTTTTTAACTTTGTGTACCACAGCAAAGGATAGTGAGTGTAATAATTATTATTACTGATTGGGATAATAATGTTACGATTGCTTGTATCTATGTATATATTAGTAGATTTGTATTTATGTATATTATGTGTGTTAGTGGATATAGTTTTTTTTTAGTATAAATTATTAGTAGGTTTCATTATCAATTTGTCTATAAAATACTGTTTAAGCTTATATATATACATATTTTTATATTTTGGTATGGTCATAATAATATATGGATTAAGGGCTTGTGTAAGCTTTGTATAGATACAGTTAATTTTTAATTCTTCCTTGCTATAATTTTCAAGCAGTAGTTGGTATTTCACTTTGTCATGTACTGGTAGTATATTACAATGATGAAAAAGACCATAAGGAATTTTTTAATTTATCTTTAATTTTGAGAGGGGTGATACATTTAAGAATACGCAATTGTAGCTCGTATATTTTTTCAAGGTGGGTTTTATACATGCGTCCATAGCTACTTAACCCATACGAAACTACTGATTCGCCGAGTGCTTTATATATAGTAACATTAGCATGTGGTAAGGTACTTTACTCTTGATGAGGTAAAATTTTGCTAAGATTTCTCGTAGCTTATCACATACAGATTCAATGTGATAAGTCCATTTCATACGGTCATCGATTATTAAACCTAAATACCTAAATTTTTCTACCACTTCAATCTGGAGACATTCACAATTGTTATTTTGGGTTGAACTTTGGATATTATGAAGACATGTATGATTATGAGCTATAAGATTAATGTTATGTTTTAATCTATTTTGACTCAAGCTAATGTACATTATTTTAGTTTTATTCGAATTAAGTACAAGACCTGCGTCTTGTGACCACTGCATGAGCCTCGTAAAATCCTCCTGTAACAGTTTTACCGCCTTATCCATATTGTGGCGGTACAGTGGCGAAGCTAGGGCTCCAAACTAGGGCAAGCCCAAGATGTGGTTTTGTTGTTTTAGCAGTTTTATAAAAATACACCGATCTTGATCAGTCTCCACTCTTTACTTTCATATTCAGTGCTGTCAAGAACGTGTTTAACATAGCATACAGAAGGCATACTACCGCTACATAGATTGTATGACATATCAGCAATTGCATACCTTCGGTGGCTTTAAAAAGAGCTGTTTGGGTTTGCTTGAGCAAAAGAAAAAGATATTTACATACAATACAATACATGAATAAAAGAAAAGCATGAACAAAGTACAAACAAACTATGTACAAAATTACAAAAAGGGATGCCTGGCAGATGGGAAACATCGAAATTATTTTGTTTAAGTCGTATGCATGGAAGGACAGATAACAACGGGAATTAGTTATGGTATAATGAAAAGATAAAGGATCACAATTTTTTTCCATAAAATAATGACTTTATTATATAATTGTTCATTTTCCATTTTAATAAATCGTACAAAATGATATTTTAACTAATATGGTAATATAAATATTGAATTACTAAATTAGCCGATAGCGTGTTTGTGCCATCAAGCGTATTTTTTACGTACCACCGTGAGAGTCAATAAATTTTCGTTCGATAAAATGAATTCACCTATAGAATTCTATTTAAATGGGTATTAGAATTTTGAGGATAGAATATCTTTTCGATACATGTATTTTTTGATTTATTACATTAAAATTTAGGCTTCAGATTAAAAAAAGATTGTAATAATTATTTGCTATACAATTAAACTTATACCTAGGTATCTCATATTTTATGCTGCCGTTCAAAATGATATTTTAACTCATATGGTAGTTATAAGTATTGAGTTATTAAACCTTTAAATACGCCTAGCTTAATTAAACTTTAATACTAAAGAGTCCTGTACCTATTAGAGTATAAAGAAATGTTTATTGAATTAAAATTTCATTTTTAAAGATTTTACCTTTTCCTCGCCGATTAGCACTTTAACACACTTATATTCATGACAAGGAACACAATTATCCTCCCATTTTCACTAAAAATCTTTGAAGATTTTCAACAGACACAACAAAAACAAACATACACATTGAAATAAGAAGTGAACTTGCAAACATATTGCCCGTACCCACACTCGCTAACGCACTCCTGAACAACTTCAGGGCAAAGCCCAGCTTTTGGTTCCATAGTAATTGCTATATAAACATTTCGTAGTTATATTTCATTAGAGAACATTTTGCTACAGGTTAGAAAGGGAGCGATCGTCTTCTCGAAATCCCGGTAAAAGGCCAACGCGTGCGAGAGAGATGACAAAATCAACTCTTTGCTTTCATTAATTTTGACAGTCCAGTGTATTTCGAATTGAAAGCGAACTGAAAAGTGTTGAAGTTACGTATATGCTACAAGGTCATGCCCTGCCTAGAAAAGAGGAGTGCGCGGGAAATTTGAAATAGTTTGAAACAGCGAGTTATTTTATTAGTTAACATTATTGATTGAGCAGTTTGATAGAGCAAGCCCGGGTTCTTGGCTTCTATGGAGGCTTTGCCACTGAGATGATACCTATACATTCTGCCTGAAAGACTGTAGTGGATATCCAGCGGTGTACATTTTTGGATGGTGAGGTCTTCCGAGAAAGTTCCAGATCCTATACCTTCATTTGTTTTAGAACCATCCGTGAAAATTCTAAGTTTGTTTGGATTTAATTCCTTTCCGGTTGGTTAGTTTTGTTTAATTGTATCTTATATATCTTATCAATATTATTTTCGGAGGTCCGTTTCTACACGGGGAAACAGTGATTATGATGAGGGTTAGAGCTGCTTCTTGTTTCATATCGAACACAAATTGTTTAGGGAGCTTATCATACATGGCTTGTAAGATAGGAAATAGGCTCAGAGAAGGTATCAAACTTTCTTTCGGTGACGACGAAACTGATCCAGAAATAGCGTCTAAAAGACTTCGCTTTGACAATGAAAAGGGTAATGTCGTTTCAGAAACTCATGAACTATTTTGGGCATGTTTCGAAGAATCTAAATCTACGAGAACAGAGCACCCTAATGAAGAGCAACCCAATAATGTCATTGCCAACCAAATCAGGTTAGCAAAGGCTGACAGAAATATTTAAACCCATATGAATGGTAGTCTTTCAGTACCAATAAGAGTCGATTCCCAATTTTAGTAAGCTTGCTAAACTACGAGGGTGGATTGAAAAGTACTCGGCCTAACCAAGAAAATAAACACATACTAAATCAGTTATATTTTTATTTTTCTACATAATCACCATCAAGTTCAATACACTTTTTCCACCTCCCCCTTCCAAGCATTTAGACCGTTGAAAAAAAATGATTCTTCCTTAGAGTCAAAATATGCGTCTACAGCTGCTTTGACCTCGTCGTTTGTCGAAAATCTTTGACCTCCCAAGTGCTTTTTTAGGTTAGGGAACAGAAAGAAGTCTGATGGTGCCAGATCAGGTGAATACGGCGGATGCGGTAACAGTTCAAAGCCACAGTTGTGAATTTCAGCCATTGACTGTACTGACGTGTGAACACGGGCGTTATCTTGATGAAACAGGACTTTTCTTCTGAGCATTCCTCGACGTTTTTCTTTTATTTCCTCTCGTAAACGACGTAGTAAGGTGCAGTAGTAATCAGAGTTTATAGTCTGACCCCTTTCAAGATAATCAATCATAATCACACCTTTCGAGTCCCAGAATACTGAAGCCATCACCTTATTTGCCGACAAAATCGACTTAGCCTTTTTAGGGGGTGGTGAACCAGGTCTTCTCCACTGTTTTGATTGTTGTTTTGTTTCCGGTGTACAGTAATGAACCCATGTTTCGTCCATAGTAACAAAACGATTCAAAAAATCATCTGCATCGGCTTCAAATAACTCCAAACAGTCGCGTGAAATAGTCAATCGCGTCCTTTTTTGTTCAACTGAAAGCAGTCGCGGAACCCACCTCGCAGACACCTTGTGGAAACCCAACTCGTTGACAATGATGTTTTGAGTTCGTTCATAAGAGATGCCTATAATCTCGGCTATCTCTCTAATTTTTAATCTGCGGTCTCCCATTATTAAATCAAGTACTTTTTTTAATATTTTCGTCAGTAGTTGACGTCGAAGGCCTTCCAGAGCGGGGTTCATCTTTCACACTCTCTCTACCACGCTTAAATTCTGCTATCCATTTTTGACGGATGAATATGACAGAGCACAATCGCCTAATGTACTGACCATGTCATCATGGATGGCTTTTGATGATAGCCCCTTCTTATGGAGGTACTTAATGACGGCACGCTGCTCGATTTGCTCCATTCGCGGAAATTATGTCCGATTACTTTGTTAATAAATTTTTAAAATCACAACTAATTATCGCACACGTTTCGAACTTCACACAATGAACTAGTCTGAACTGAACTAAATAATGTGGGTAGATTTGATTTGTCACAACAGCAAGCTCTGTTTATTCAGAAAGACTATTTTCTGAGGCAGATTTGGTTTACGAAAAAAGCGCAACCGACTCGATCCCAGTTGTGAAACATTTGATTTTCTGCACCACAATCTACCTCTTTTAGACTTTGAATATTAATTAAAAAGCCTTATTAACTTTAACATTACTGATTTTTGCTAACTTTTATATTTTTAATGATATATATATTAATACTAAGTGTGTTTTGTTTTAAAGATAAATACAAGTAATTATTTCGTCTATCTATAGTTTTTCTGTATTTTTATTTTATTTAGACAACTATTCTTCGAACATCGAATAATGAACATTATTACTTGATATTCGACGAGTAACAAAAAAATGCCGAGTAATGCCGAATACCGAATAATAGCGAGTGTTCGCGACATTTCTAATAAGGTCTATCATTGTATAAATTAAGCTAACTGTAATTTTATTATTCTTTTTTTAGTTAATGCAGCAGCAGCTATAGCCAACATAGTAAAGAGTTCACTTGGACCAGTGGGGCTTGACAAAATGTTGGTGGATGACATTGGAGATGTCACAGTCACAAATGATGGTGCTACCATCTTAAAGTGAGTAGTTTTAAATATACTATTCTGTCATTTATAAGACTTAAAATATAAATAATATGAACATCTTAAGAAAACAATATTGTGGTTCTTCTAAATATAAAATTAAGAGTTCCAAGAGATCTTGTATGACTTCAAAATATGACACATTTCTGTTAAGGTGTCTAAAGGTGGGTACAGATTGGTGCAATGCAACATGTAATGTAATATTCTACCTTACATTGCATGTTCCCTGCTGCCTTGGACGTGTGGCGCGCGCGGTACGCGCATTGACTACGAATCAGAACGAGAACATCTGTTCCCGCATTTCGTTACAAACACTAGCCCTCGTCACACGTGTTCTTTTCTTTGCCCACATCACTCTACTTAAGTCGATATACTTACGAATCATGGAGTCTGAAGACAGCCTTCTTGCTCTGACGATTATCAGTGCTTCATTGTTAATCATTCATCAACTTTTAAATAAACGCCAAAGATTTCGTCCCACGCATCTTTCTTTAAATTTTGTTTATAAAAGTTTTCATTTTAAGGGTTCCATAAAACTTTCCTTGTTCTGTATTCCTCTATCAATAAAAGTGACTCGTCATCACTCCACGCACCCTCTTTCACCGCCATGATCGTTGCGCATGCGAACGAAACGAACGACCGTCCACGGCTGAGTCCTGCGCATACTGCGCACCGCTTTGTGTTCGTACTAAAAACCGACAAATCTCGGATCGAGCCGCGCACGAGTTGTAACGCTCGGAGCGTGCGCGACCCAGGCGCAGTTCGTGCGCGCGAGGCGTCCACACTATGGGAATTCTGTTACATTACATGATACATTGCAGCAATGTGGACCTCAAATTCTTGCATTGCATGTTGCATTGCACCAATCTGTACCCACCATTAGAGCTTTAAATTTTTTTTTAATGCATGTAGTTGCATTATTTATTCGTGGTAGAGTCACACTGCAGCTATATTATAGTTGTAGCACGAATGGACCGGGTGGTAGCACGAATGGACCGGGGAAGGGCCACGCTCTCACAGAATACCAGCGTAAAATAGTAGCTTAATACTGCTGTGTTTCGTATGGTGAGAGTAGAGGTCCAGAGACCCTCTTTTACTGGAAACAAGGCATTCCATCTTAGTCCTCAGTGGTGACAACGCATCTGCGTTTTGATTCTTAATCGAGGATAAATCTAGATGTCTATGGGCCACAGCATCCACTTACCATCAGGTGGACTGTGTGCTCGTTTGTCATCCTTATTCTATAAATAAAATAAAGTAAACCTAATTTGTCTATGATTAAATTGATAGCATGGCTTGGCATCCATTTTAAATTTTACTTTCTTGCTACTCTAAAACTTAAATAAGTTGTTGCTAAATAGAAGTCTGTTATTACCAACTAGTTAGTCTAGAGATTTTCTGTGTGATAGTATTTGTAAAGAAGATATCCCCAATAGAACCAGGATAACTAATACAGTACAACCTTAGTAAAACAAACCTCAATATAAGGATTTCTTCAATTTAACAAATTTTTAGAAATCCTCTAGAATCGGCTGTAAGGGTTAATACAAAATATCTTAATATTATGAATAACTTTTGTAAAAACCTCGATGTTACGATTTTTCAATCATTGCAAAACATAAATAGAAATTATAATTAACCTCTGCATAAAGTATTCTACCAATCTATATAACAAGAATTCGTCTTGGCAGATTCAGACACAATCAAATGTCATAATAAACTAATGTTTAGTATTGTAGGGCATTTTTTACAATGTGTTTTACTTTTTTTAAGTTTGCTTACCTTGCTAAACGAATCTTAGACCAACTTAGGGTTACAACGCAGTGTACTCTCCAATGCAAATGACGTCATGAATCGACGCTATACTGGTGATTCGTTCCAAAACATTGGACAGTATATGACGTCATACTTTGCGCCATTTGGAAAAGTGATGGCGATTATTTTGTCATTTTATGCTCCAAAAATCATTATATCCTCCTAATGGATATACCATCAATTATTTTATAATTTTTTGTATTTGAATAAATGGAAAACAAATTCTGGCATGCTTCATTCGGCAAACACACAATTAAAAATTGTTTTATTATGGCAGGATATCCGACACAATATGGCGGCAGCACGCTAGTACAATAAAGTGTCAAATGATACGTCATTTGTAGACATGTGTCAATCATGCATGATTCGTTCGTTTGAGCTGGTACACTTAGAAGTATTGAAGGTTCATTCATTTGTTTTTGAATGTACCAGTACAACCAATCACAAACAATTGACGGTACCTTTTAACCCGCGATTTGTTTGAATAGTGAATGAGCTGCAAACCGACCGAATCCCGAATGATCTGAATAAACAGGCGAATTGAATTGACAATGCAGACTGCAGAACATAGAGTAGAGCACAGTATCAGCAGTATTTATTATTTAAGGGTTTTTAATTATAATATTGTTACCTAAATTAAAAATAATTTTACATTTTATTATATTTATTTGTTAAATCTATGAGTTACAAATATCATTTCGTAGAGTTTACTAAAAATAACACTTCAAAAGATTTCATGATAAATGATTTATTTAATGATAATTTTCAACCATCTTATATAAATATAAGTTAGGTAAAAGTTTAATTTCGTAGCAAATAAATGTTATAATCCCTATTTTTAGACATGTAAAGTAAGATGAAACTGTGTATTGTTAGGAATGAAATTTAAGAATAAACAAATTTATTAAATATTTAAAATATATGATAACTTGAGGTTTTTGTGATTATACCATCTAGCGTCGATAGTTTTTATCACCTTGAAAATTAATAAGTTTTAGTTCGATAAAATGACTATTACCTAAAGCATGTAGTAGATGGCGCTATTACAAATCTCAAATATAAAATTTTCGGTTCGCAATGGATCTCACAGACTCACAGAGTACTGGAGCCTGAAATGAACCATTTGAATGATCGATCTGAATGTACCAGTACGCGTGCCCAAATGTACTAGAATGATTCGGTCGCTAGAAATGAGTGATTTACACATGTCTAGTCATTTGCATTGGACAGTACACTGCGTTGTATTTCGGAACATACCCTTAACCTCTATTGGTTGGGCTGAAAAGTTCGTATCGTCTCTATGAGATGGCGCCACTAGAATAAAATCCATATCATTTTTAGGTAGTATCAACCTTCAAAAGAAACGTGTATAAATTTGACAGCATTCTGATTATTAGTTTGTGAGATACAGCATTTTGAGTGAAGCAACTTTTGTTATTTTGAAAAAAATGGATAAAAAAGGAATTTCGTGTTTTAATGAAACACTATTTTTTGATGAAAAAAAGTGCTGCTGATACCAAAAAGTGGCTTGATGACTGTTATCCCGACTCTGCGCCGGGTGAAGCAACCATTCGTAAGTGGTTTGCCAAATTCCGTACAGACCATATGAGCACCGAAGACGATGAACGCAGTGGACGTCCAAAAGAGGCTGTTACGGACGAAAACAAAAAAAATCCACAAAATGGTTTTGGAAGATCGTAAATTGAGGTTGATTTGTATATCTGGCACTCTAAAGATATCAAAGGAACGTGTTGGACATATCGTTCATGAATATTTGGGTATGCGAAAGCTATGTGCAAAGTGGGTGCCGCGCGAGCTCACAATCGACCAAAAACAAGAACGTGTCGATGCTTCAGAGCAATGTTTGGAGCTGTTCAACCGCAATAGAAGTGAATTTTTGCGTCGATATGTGACAATCGATGAAACATGGATCCACCACCACACTCCGAGTCCAGTCAGCAGTCATCTGAATGGACTGCACGCGATGAACCGAATCCAAAGCGTGGAAAAACTCAACAGTCGGCCGGTAAGGTTATGGCGTCCGTATTTTGTGATGCACATGGAATAATTTTCATCGACTATCTTGGAAAGGGAAAAACCATCAACAGCGACTATTATATAGCGTTATTGGAGCGTTTGAAGGACGAAATCGCGAAAAAACGGCCCCATTTGAAGAAGAAGAAAGTGTTGTTTCATCAAGACAATGCGCCGATGTCACAAATCGATGAAAACGATGGCAAAATTGCATGAATTGGGCTTCGAATTGCTTCCGCATCCACCGTATTCTCCAGATTTGGCCTTTTTCCTGTTCTCAGATCTCAAGAAAATGCTCGCTGGAAAGAAATTTAAAGTGTACGAGGAAGTAATCGCCGAAACAGAGGCCTATTTTGAGGCTAAACACAAATCGTACTACAAAAATGGTATTGAAAAGTTGGAAGATCGCTATAATCGGTGTATTGCCCTCGATGGCAACTATGTTGAATAATAAAATCGAATTTTGCCAAAAAAATGTGTTTTTCTATAAAACAATACGAACTTTTCAGCCCAACTGTTATATAACAAACTACTCAGTATAACGAATATTTCCTATTCCTTTCAGATTTGTTATATCAAGCTTGTACTGTATAGCCCAATAGATGAGTGTGCCATCCAGCTCGAGGAGCTTATTATACTAGTAAGCAAAGCGTAGGATGCTCCCACCCTAGATGGAGTGACAACCTGGTAGTCTTAAAGGAAGTTGATAGATGCAGGTGTCTCAGGACCTTGTTTTGTGGCATTCCTTGGAGACCTATATTCAACTATGGACTTGTGAAGGAAGGGCTGTAATGATGAAGTAGAAGTGTGCAGTAGGGATCTATGGAGAAATATGCCAATTATTTCGCTTAATATCAACCTCACCTACACACCTTTTTTTTACCCTGCAGATTGCACTACTATGAATTATGAACTAGCATTAATCCAAAACGTAACTTATCATCTTTTATCACCATACGCAGAATGTTGGAGGTGGAACACCCAGCAGCAAAGGTTCTGGTAGAGCTGGCCCAGCTTCAGGATGAAGAGGTTGGAGATGGCACCACAAGTGTTGTTATCATAGCTGCTGAGTTACTAAAGGTAATTTAGTTTTATCCCTAGACACAAAGATAACCTATGCTATATTATTATGAAAATGATGTAATATAGCTTATTTTTATAACATTGAGTGATTATAATACTAAGCCTTGCAGGCTTAAATTCGTAGGTGCATTAGGCGAGTCCTAGCTAGTCTACCAGTGGTAGGCGGTGACTTATTTCTTGTTTATGTTGACCAACGTCGTTTCCACCTGAATCTGGTTCGCGCCATTGTGGGTATTTAGAATTTCAGTAAAGTAACACTCATATTAAATTCTATCATAATACATTTTTTAATTTTGTAATTTAATGTAACTGTATTACAGAATGCCGATGAATTAGTGAAGAACAAGATTCATCCAACTAGTGTCATATCCGGCTACAGGCTTGCATGCAAAGAAGCCGTAAAGTACATTCAGGATAACCTGACAGTCAATGTGGATACACTTGGCAGGGCATCCATCATTAATATCGCCAAGACTACCATGTCTTCTAAACTAATTGGAGCGTATCCTTTAATAATTTTGTATTATATGTATGATTAAAATAATTGTGTTAGCTTGGAGGCCAGTTCGCCAAAAATTTCATAACACGGTTCCTTGATCCCCACCAACGCCTAATTGTTAATTGCTGGCTTACCACATGCTCATTACTGTAGGATTGACATTGTAAGGAAAGCTGCATTAACAAACACACGCGCAAACGCGCGCGCGCTCCGCTCACACACACACACACACACACACAAAATACTCCACACTCTTATTATACTTTTAAAGTGTAAAATCAGTATGCGTAACTCAATTCATGTAGTGCAGTTTCAACTAATGTATTGTCAACATGCTAAAGTGCTCAATTTTTTAGATTTTGGTCTTACATTGGTTGTATTTTTTATAAATGGTTTTAGTTCAAAACGTAATGAACATATTTACAAGTCCTATTGATGAACTACTCATAAAAATTCAAATTGCACTCAAAATTAAAATACAACAACAATGTCAGTTAAACTAAACTTGTGATTTTGTTGCTTCATTTGTTGTTTCAGCTATTTGTATTCATTATATGCTACATAATTTAATTTTGCATACGATTTCATTTTTTCCCAAAATCTATATGGGACTTTGCATGTCTATAAAATTTGACAACATTTGACAAACATGTTTATATCCTTTTTCATTACAAGCTTATACCGAACGGGTTATACAGGTTATACGAAATTTTAATTTCCTATGTCAAAAAATTAAAAGTTTTCATTTCATACCTTTTTAAAACAAATCTCCTTAATGAAGATAATTAGTGATGCAGACTTCTTTGCTGAGATGGTGGTAGATGCAGCACAAGCAATTAAAACAACAGATGCAAAAGGCAATGCTTTATATCCCATTAAAGCTGTCAATATTCTCAAAGCCCATGGTCGGAGCGCACGGGAGAGTGTCCTTATCAAAGGTTATGCTCTGAACTGTACTGTTGCCTCGCAAGCAATGCCGAAAAAGATTGTTAATGCAAAGATTGCTTGTCTAGACTTTTCACTGCAGAAGACTAAGATGAAACTAGGAGTTCAGGTATGTTGTACAATATGTACTACTTATAATATACGTAACTTTCTTATCCAAAAGGGGCATCAAAGGTAAATAGTACCTTACAAAAAAATCATTAATAATTACATACAAAAATGCTATTATCTCTCCAAATACATGTTTTAATACAATTTGCTTAAAATTTAGCAAATTTTTGTAGTCTGACAACACAGTTATCTGTGACGGTGTCTTTGAATGTGTTAAGCGAGTCACATACTACAGAGATTCGATAAGCTATCTGTATCTGAGCACATATCTTTCAATACCGCTCTCTATGAAATTCAAGGAACTAATGCACAGCGCGGATGATTTATATTTCAACATTAAGTATCTGTAGGCACTAACCTATATCGAAAAATGGTGACAATATTATCTGCTTATACAAATATATCTGCAGCTATAAATATGGCATAGGATTTTATCACAGATAAATACAGGATGGTCGTTGAAAAATTATAATTAAATTCGCTTTGGTACTTTTTAAGCTTTATATGACGTTCTATCCAAATTCTTTGCCTTTTAGTAAATGCTAATTCAACACCTGCATCAAAATCAAAATCCTATTCTGACGATCAGTCTAGCAAATCTAGAAGCATTATATGCCAACTCATTGTAGGTAACACTGTATAAACAATCCACTCCAAAAAACTATTCTAGTAAACTTGAAGGATTATGAGTGAACATATTATTTCGTAAATTATCGTATCTACGTAGTCTGTGACTCGCTTTATGGTCAAGGGTTATACTCGCTAGTTGATTTGACGACCGCCTATGCCGCATCTATGAGTATGCATTGCCATGTAAGTTCCCCATTAAATTTTTTTGAGTAAGTCATTTACTCTCGAAAAAGGTAAAGGTTTACATAAATGGAATCAAATCACAATTTCTTAAATAACCCTCACGGATTGAACATGTTTTTTTTTACCAATTGTTTATAGGTGATAAATTCCTTAAATATATAGGTGTTCCTCTTTCTCTTAATTCTTAAACTTGCAGTATAGCCTGCGAAAGATCTTTTTAAAATTATAGCAATAAATGTTATTTACGACAAAACATAATTTAAAATTTCCTTTTTTAAGTTTTTGGAGCTGAATATAATTACGTATATATGAGACAATTTATTTCAATTAGGTCCTAGTCACAGATCCAGAGAAACTAGACGCTATCCGCGCTCGAGAACTAGACATTACTAAAGAGCGTCTGAACAAGATCCTAAGTACGGGCGTGAATGTTATCCTTTGCACTGGTGGCATTGATGATCTTTGCCTGAAGTACTTTGTGGAGGCCGGTGCTATGGGAGTCAGGAGGTGCAAGAAGGCTGATCTAAAGAGAATTGCCAAAGCCACGGGAGCAACCTACCTCACTTCTCTTACCAATATGGATGGTGAGTTTCTGAATATAGGTTAAATAGTAAACTTATGTTGTAAAAAGTGTATTTGTGATTGTAAAAACATTAACATAGATATGTTCTTTCTTATTATGTGTTATTACATCTTCAATTCCTGGTGACTTATTTATATAATAATAATGACAAACAGGGCTCAATCAACCTGCCTCGTTTCCAGTAAAAAGTGTCTGGTTCTCTACACTCACCCTATGTAACCCAGCAGCATTGAACTGCCACCGTTGAGGAATAAGATAGAATGGGTTTTTACCACAAGAAATAGTCACTGGTTCTTTCCACCCACCAAACGAAACACAACAGCATAAATCTGATATTTTTTACTGGTATTCTTTGAGAGCATGGTCTTCCTTCGATTAAGCTGACCTATTCTATAGCTAAACTGAGTGAGTAGAAGAGTCTGTAGTGAGTCATCATGATAGTTATATGCTGCAGCCGATTGTAATGTAAGAGTTAATAAATATTGTTTGTGAATAGACACTGATAATTTAAAAAAAAAGAATTCCAAATAGTAATTGATTTTTCATTCCAGGTGAAGAAGTATTTGAACCAAGCATGATTGGTGAAGCTGCAGAAGTAGTACAAGAGGAGATTTGTGATGACCAACTTATCCTTATCAAGGGGTGAGTAACTCAAAACATAAAAACATTCCATTCTTAACATTCTACTGGATGACCTTTTTTACCGTCTGGAAAAAATAGGGTGTAACGTGTAAACAGAGTAGAAGCCTATGGCACTGATATTTTACAAATAAATAAAAGCAAGGGTTTTGAATTAAATAAATTAATTAAAATGTATCGAAATTCAAATCTTATCCACCCGAGCCTGTGATCCTGCGAAGTGACAAGGTTAAACATGACTTCTAAATATATTCTTTTATTGCCGTTCGTAAAGTAGGCTGGATATGATTTGAATTTCGATAGATTCTAATTTATTTATTTATTTATTTAATTCAAAGTTTGTTTTTATTTTTTGTAAAAATCAGTGCCATGGGCTTCTACTCCATTCACATGTTACACCATTTTTTTTCCGGACGGTAAAAAAAGTCATGCAGTATATTTCAAATAAATACCTAACTGTGCCTTGTATGCACAATCAAGCACTCACATATTCGAAACAACCTATATTCAAGATGTAACACATACTCTTAAGACCTAAGGTGGCTTAAGATGGCAAAACATTATCTAGGGACAGTTACAATACAGATTCAGGGACCCATGGAACAAGGATTGTTGTTTTTCACAAATGTTACGGGGGCGGCACTGAAAATTTCGGGAATCAAGGAAGTGACCCAACATTACTATTTAAAATTCCGAAGTATTCTCCGCGAAATTTGACACATTTTTCCATACGATGGAACCAATCATTGAAGCAACCATTCCATTCGGAAGTTGGGGTCTCCAAAATGGCCGTTTTGTAGGCGTCCACAGCTTCTACAGGTGATGAAAATCTCTGTCCACGCAATTTATTCTTTATTTTAGGGCTGTACGGCGGATGATCTAATAATTCTATGTTTTCTTGCTCTAAAAACTCTTTTGTTCTGTGTGCGGTGTGAGAACTCGCATTGTCGTGATGGAGTATGATGCGGCGGTTGCAGTTCTCTTTACGGAGTTCAGAAACGACCTGTGGCAAACAAATGCTAACATACCATTCTGCATTAACCGTTCTTTGTCCCTCAAGAGGAATAGTCCTAACAAGGCCGGTTTTGGAGACAAACGTGGCCACCATTTTTTTTGCAACACTCCGTGAACGAACAATTTTTGTTGGCTTTAACTCATTTTCGAACACCCAAACTCGTGACTGGTTTTTTGTTTCGGGTTCGTACGCATATATCCAGGACTCGTCACCTGATACGATGTTGTATACAGCATTTGAGGATCCTGCGTGGAATCTTTCGAGAGTTCTGACGCACCAAGTAACGCGAGACGCTTTTTGCTCTTCACAGAGCGAATGCGGTATCCACCGGGAAAACAACTTTTTTACACCTAATTGTTCATGCAAGATTATTTGTATTTGACTCATGCCAATTTCTAAAGTTGCCTGAATTTCGCGGTATGTCACATATCGATCTTCCTCAATCAGCTTACACACAGCATCAACGTTTTCTTGGGTGACTGCAGTTTTTGGACGACCTTGACGGGGATCATCACTGAGCTTGACATATCCACTTTGAAATTCAGCAAACCAGCGATAAATTGTGTTTTTGGATGGGGCTTCATCACCAAATGCAGAAATCATCCGGTCAACACACTGTTTTTGTGTTAAACCACTTCGAAAGTCATAATAAATCATCGCTCTTGAATTTTCTCGAGTCAATTCCATTTTCTCAACAACTAAACAAGTTTGACAAAACCTTGTGACAAGACCGAGAATCTTTTTTTTAAATAAATAAATGGTATTCGATTTTTAAAACCAAGGAGTTTTCAATTAAAAAGATTTTAATATGAGAGGAACAGTGTAAATATTCCATTCCCGATACTTTTAGTGCAGCCTATGTACATCTGACTGAAAATAGAAATCAAACCTGGTCATGTAGAAAGAATGAATGCGGAAAAACTGACAAAGCAAATATATGTTGCAGAAGTGAATGGAAGAGTCGGAAAGGGACGTCCTAGGCCTAAGTTTGTCGAGCAAATTGGCAATATACTAAAAATGGGCCAAATTAAGAGTACCCTTAACCGACGAGCATGTATGCGTAGATATATGGATGTGGAAGAGGCGAGAGAGGTATGTCAGGATCATGCTAAATGGAAGTCTGTAGTCTCTGCCTACCCCTCTGGGTGACAGGCGTGAGTGTTTATGTTTATGTTATGTTTTTATGTGCACAAGCACAGGTGTACTCTATTCCTTCATTGTCCTAGTCCAATGGGACGGCATCTAATCCCACCGAAAGATTAGGCGCAAGATCCATCGGCTTTACATGCTTAAATGCATATATGATAAATACCTCCTGTCATGGAGAGAGAGGCCTATGTTAAGCAATAGACTTTCTTTTGATAGGCTGTAATGAATGAGAACCACTGGTCAGTACACTGACCATTAAAACACCCGGTTGATATTTATTTATTTAAAAATTTATGTATACACGAAGTAATGGTACAATGAAAAATAAAAAGATATTTTGTACAAAGGCACTGCTTATTTCATATGAAATTTCTTCCAGCAGGCCTGATACTGGACAGATTCAAAGAGAAGCAGATTTAGTATGCACTCTCATAGTAAATTTTATAATATTTTTATACTTAATATAAATTAAAGATAATAAAAACATATACACACATCTATACATACAGACATGCACATATCTAAATACTATACTATATACATATATAAAATAAAATACATATAGATAGTGTATTTCATATTGAAATTTCTTCCAGCAGGCTTGATACTGGACAGATTCAAAGAGAAGCAGATTTACTGTGCACTCCATAGTAAATTTTATAATATTTATATATGATTAAAACTTCTTTTACGGATTTTATCGCGTTTATTTTTACTTTTTATTTTAATTCCCGACGTTTCGGTCGCTTTCCAGCACCCATGGTCACGGGGGACTGAGATGACTGACGTCCCGATGTCACCGTTAAACCCGAGAGTACCTTCAGCTTTTTTAATTATTGTTTATGGTCCGATCTATGCGGGTTTAACGGTGACATCGGGACGTCAGTCATCTCAGTCCCCCGTGACCATGGGTGCTGGAAAGCTTCCGAAACGTCGGGAATTAAAATAAAAAGTAAAAATAAACGCGATAAAATCCGTAAAAGTAGTTTTAATCATGTGCAATGTTCGCGTAAATATAAGAAATCATTATATTTATATACTTAATATAAAATAAAGAAATTAATGACATATACTAAGTTACAGTCAATTTGTTATATAAAAGAGGATACTATCACATTATTAAGTTACTATACTATCACATCACTAAGTTACGGTCAATTTGTTATATAAAAGAGGATACTATCACATTATTGGATAATAAAAAAATTAATAAAATTTACAGCCCTGCCGCCCGTACTGCAGCTTCTATCATTCTCCGAGGTCCCACGGACGCCTACTGTGATGAGATGGAACGGTCAGCTCACGACGCTCTATGCGCAGTTCGACGAGTGCTAGAGTCTGGACGTATAGTTCCCGGAGGAGGTGCAGTGGAAGCCGCTCTATCTATTTACCTAGACAACTTTGCTACTACACTGGTAAGTGCAGTAGCTTAAATCTTGCTGTTGAAGGTTCTATAATAACTACATATCTTATCTTAATCTTAATATGTATAAATTACGTGTCACATTGTTTGTCCGCGATGAACTCCTAAACTACTTAACCAATTTTAATCAAATTTGCACACCGTGTGCAGTTTGGTCCAACTTGAGAGATAGGATAGTTTTTTTGCCCATGAGTGACCCACAAATTTTTTTTGCGAATTTAAGGATTTTTAATAGTACATAACAAAGAGTCGTGGAAAAGGGCAGAACTAGCTTATGTACCACTTTGAAATTCAATCGATTTTTATGTGATAAAATGACTAATCAATAGGATGAAGTAGTTAAACATTATTACCATAGTAAAACACTATTATAGAAGTGGTTATACGCTATAATAAAGCAATTTTAAACAAAATAAAATATTCTTTTGATTTATTACACCAAAAACAAGTCTAAAAATAGGGATTGTAACATTTATTTCATATAAATTAAAAATTTTATCTTATATTTTATGCCGCACTTGTGGTTAGAAATGATCATATTAAATAAATAATTTGAAGCTTTCAATTGTACCGCGTGTTAAACTGCAAACATGTTTTTTTTTTAATTAATAATTCTTCTCCGTCAGCCCTTAAAAGTCTACTCCTGTACATGGGAGACACATGTAAAAAGGATTTTCTTTAAACATCATGCTTGTCAGGCGGTCAGACATTCAAACATTCATGATATTTAAATCGTATAACATTTTCGCAGAGTTCTCGCGAGCAACTAGCTATCGCTGCTTTCGCGCAGTCGCTGCTGGTGATTCCGAAGACATTGGCAGTTAATGCTGCGCGTGATGCAACCGACCTCGTAGCAAAACTGAGAGCCTATCACAATTCTTCACAAACCAAGGTATGTCTTAGAGCACAAGATATCTACGCTATGTTTTGATGCCCTGGTCGATTTCATCCATGACCACAACCGTAGAATACTATAATACACAATAGAATGGCTGTCAAACTTATTTTGTACGAGATTCGGCGTCGCCGGGAGCACACATACAAGCAATTACGTCGTATTATCAATACTACAAACCCGATTCGCTGTGTTGACAGACTGAGTAAATTTAAACATTTTAACTTTTGATTAATGTTCAAAATCATCATTTAAAAAATTGTTTAAGATTTAATACATATTTATATGTAAATAGTGTGCAATTTGGTATTTTCTAATTAATTTGCATGCGAAATTTGGAAACGATTGTTACGTCAAAACACATCTCGTGTTGACATTTATATGTGTGAATTGACATTTTAGTGGCTACACAGGCTCCGCCCACTCCCCTGTTCTATTATGTATGTATTATAGTATTCTATGGCCACAACTACCAAATAGAGGTGCTTGCACTGTTGTATTCCAGTCTGAAGAGTATAGAGCCAGTATAATTATGGACTATGAAGCTTTCGATCTTAGTCCTTAGGGGTGATAACGCATCTATAGCCTTCTTCGTATGAAGTTGACTGCAGATTTGAGAGAGAACATCCATGGATTTGTTTGTAAACTCAATTGGGCTGGAGGAAATATTATTGTAACATTATTATGTGAAAAACTATATTCATTCCCAGACATTCCCCGAATCAAGCATATTGGGTATGACAAATCTGCTCATTATGCAATTCTTGAAACCCCTACCTTTTCTTTATCTAATGGATGTACTGATGTCCCTCATTATTCTCCACTTTTATTGGGGAAGCCACTGCAATCAGTAACGCTTTGTTGTGTTGAGTCACATAATCTTAATAAAACAGTTATTTTCAGATTCAAAAAGTTGCTTGTTAGCTATTTTGCCCAATTAATTCCATAACAAACATAAACAGTAACCTCCAACAGATAGTAGATAGACACACTATTATAGGTACCGTCAAGGAAATCAACCCACATATTTGGATCTTGTATTAACAAATGAGGACTCACTTATAGCCAGTATCAATCACCAAGCCCCTATTGGCAAAAGTGATCATACCTGCTTATTGGCTACTATAGACTTGCAAATGCAGAACCTACAAATGCAATATAAGACCAAGAGTAAATTTTAACAAAGCTGATTACGACAAAATAAATACAAAATTGCTATCAATGTTACCTGAAAACATGGCAGACAAAAGGTGTATGAAATTACAATTTGAAACCGTTCATGGAGCACTGATGGAAGCTATCAACTTGTATGTACCACAGTTGAATATCCGTCTAAATAACACAAACAAGCCCTGGGTTAGTAGAAACAAAACTGAAAAGCTCATCAATAACAAAATAGCGTTGTGGAACAGATATGTGCTGACTGGACTAGATCAGCATTATAGAGGCTACAGAAACATCAAAATAGAAAAGCCCGAACAACCTATGAACAGAACCGCATGACAAACTTCCTACATTAGACCCGACACTTCGAGTAGAGGATTCCATTGAAGAAATTCTGTTCACACCAGACCAAGTCAACCAAGTCATTTCAGAAATGAAAACAGATTCATCTTCGGGACCAGATGATATACCAGTATCTGTATTGAAGAAATGCAGTCTATCTCACTATTTAGCAAAAATAATGCAAACATCGTACGAGACAAGCATCTTACCAGACTTATGGAATCAGCATTGGTGACACCCATATTTAAAAAAGGTAGCAAACTGGGACCATCCAATTACAGACCCATCAGCTTAACCAGTGTAGTCTGCAAAGTTATGGAGAAAATTATAGTGAAGCATATTAGAAACTTCCTCTCCAACCATAAAATTATCCCTAAACAGCAACATGGTTTTTGTCCACATCGTTTCACAATTTCTAATTTGTTATTATGCCTATCTATCATCATGAACCAAACACTTCAATGAGAGAGAGCCTATTGACGTAATTTATCTCGACTACGAAATGGCTTGCGACAAATTTCCAAAGAGAAGACTCCAGAAACTGGTATACGTAGGAATATGTGGAAAACTACTGGCTTGGATCGCGTTATTTTTGCAAGGGAGAACCTTACAAATAAGAATTGGTGAAACAAAGTCTGATCACGTAGAAATACGTAGTAGAGTGGCACAGGGTTCCGTTCTAGCCTTTTGTACATTGTTTATGCTTTTGACCTCTCCCATTGCCTACAGTGTAATTTGAGCATATATGCAGATGATACTAAAATATTTGCAAATCCACCAATTGACTACGACCGCCTTCAGTGTGACCTGAATAAAATAGCTATTTGGTCCAAGGATTGGCTCATAAATCTCAAAATTTACAGTATTAAACATAGGAAACCGTAGCCCTCATTTTACCTATGAACTGGGCGGCGCGTCATTTACAGTTGTTAAAATACAAAAATAAAAATTGCAGAAGACTTAAAGTGGGAAGAGCATATATCAACAATTGTCGAAAAAGATAAAAGACTAATTTACCTAGTGAGAAAACCTTCACTATCCTAACACCGGAAATGATGTTTAAGATCCACAAAACATTTATCAGACCAATATTAGTATACGCATTTCAAGTCTGGAACCCCTACTTTATCAAGAACATTGAAGCTTTGGAAAAAGTACAGCATAGCTTCACCAAAGTACCACAGCTATTGAAACGGCAATCTTATGAAGAATGTTTGAAAATTTTAAAACTTACAACATTAAAAACCGTAGGGTCCAAGGAAATCTAATCGAAACCTTTAAGATTTTAAGTGGACATTTTGACATTGAGGAGTTTGACAAATTGTTTGTTCGTAATGAAAACACTTACCTCAAGGGCCTCATCTTAAGCTATGTATGAGCTTCTCAAACACCAAACCCCATAAGCAGTTCATTTGTAACCGTGTAGTCACAGAGTGGAATAAGCTGCCAGAGAACATAGTCTTAGGTAATCATTTTCTGAACAGCAATAAGAGTAATTAGTGGGCTCAAACAAGATACAGCCATTATCCGTTGTCTCAACTGCCTGCCTGCTAATGTATAATAATAATAATTATAAATTTCCAATAATTCTCAAAATAAAAAATACCCTATTCAGATGTCATCTCCGAGGAATCCATGTTTCAGTAGCCTGGATTCCTGGCCGCAGTTGTATCTAAGCACTGTACTGTCATCCAAGAGAGATTATTCCTCCTAACCCATGGTTCGTTTAATTTAACAAAGCAAATAAACATGCAACTTCTATTATCTGTGTAGATTGAGAATTTGACATGCTTGACATGTGCATCTGGCAAAAATCAACGTTAGGTATAGCTCATTGTGTGAATGTGGCTTAGGTGAAGGTTCCACAAACCATTAACTGTCCTAAGCTATCCTCCAACCTTTATCTCCTTATATTCCTCGATCTATTATAGATTTTAATTCTCTTTTATCATATACAACTATTTCTTTGTGTGTATTTTATGTGATTATATTACTACTAATAACAAAAAACTTTCAATCTTTGTTACTTTTACATACTAATAAGATTCTAACACCTATGTTTGTCATTTGTTCTAAGTAATTCAACAGATAGATTTATCTAAATTCTAGAAAGAAAAATAATTCCTTGTGCTATCACTTATCACAGACCTATTTTAATTAAACTCATCAGCTTTCGTTTTCCTATGAATCCGATATGAATGCCATTCACGAATTCTACGAAATTGCCACAAAAAGTAATAAAACGAATCTTTTTCTCAGTCTGGTCTATTCTGGGTCTCAATAATTTAAGAATTAATAGAAGAATTTCTGCGTCTTCATAACCCTTCGTACACAAATTTAAGTATTCTAGTTTTTAATAATAAATGTAGGGAATTAATGAATCCAAAAAAAAAACACGCAGCCAAGCAACTTTTGCTTAGATCTACATTATTTAAAAACTTACGTGTAATGGCGGCGTGAGAATTCACTATCGCATTTGACCCAGTAGGTGTCGTAAGAGCTGAAGAAAGAAACTGAAACATGCTATACTGAAAATAATAAAAAATTGCAGTTGCCAATCTACCTGAGATTGGCAACTGCAATTTTGCCAAGCGTTGCTAGAAATGCTAGTATCATCCCTATGACGCAATTTATGAAAGAAGCCTGTCCAGCTGTGGACTTTGATAAGTTGTATTATGATGATGATAGCGAATTTACAAAATAATTGTTCACTGGTATTTCCATATAATTTCTATTTTAAAAAAAGAATTTCTATTTTAAAAAAAAGCCTATATACGTCCCACTGCTGGGCACAGGCCTCCTCTCATTTCTGAAAGGCTTTTAGGGCAAGGAAGTGTCCGCCGCGCTGCCCCAATGCGTAGTGGCAAACTTCACATGTCTTCGAAATATTTAATATAATTCTAATTTAATACAATTTCTATAGAAAGATTGAACTGTTCAAAAAAGTTGACATTAATGTTAACTACCCCGGTTCAGCAACATTTTTACCCTTTTTGTTAATCGTGCGGACAAAATTCTTTTTATTAATTTTACATTACATTACTACTTTATAGGTAGAGCACGCGAACCTTAAATGGGTGGGTCTAGACCTCACAGAGGGAACACTACGCGACAATCTGGCTGCAGGAGTGATAGAACCAGCAATATCTAAAGTCAAATCCCTAAAATTCGCAACAGAAGCGGCCATCACCATCTTGCGTATCGATGACATGATCAAACTGGACCCTGAGCCTAAGGGTAAGAGCTATGAAGACGCTTGCAACGCTGGGGAGTTGGATTAAATTGTGCCTGTTGTTACTGATCTCGGTTCTGTGTTGGTTATATGGTGTGAACTGATATGTTCACACAGCGCTTATTGCTTTTCAATATTGAATAAGTTTCTTTATTTAGAAAAAAAAACAGTGATGTAAGTTGAGATTTCATACACATATACTTGAAATTAAACATATATTTCAAGTATAATGTAGTGGATTTTCTGTTCTAATAATGGTATAATTAATGAAAGGTAAACAATGCAAGGTAACATTTATGGATGCCATTCTTAATTTCTATAATGTGAAATACAGTACATCTTTATATATTGTTTACTACTTATATTCTTTAAATTTGCATTAATTTTCTTATGTTAATTTAATAGAATGGTACAGTTTTTTTTAACATCACAGTTAAGTGTTACTCCAGTAATTAATACTATAAAATAGGAGTTAAAACTAGATCCAAATTAAATTAAGTTTTGATACAGATTCCGTTTATAGCCTCAGTACCAGTTTTATTATGTCAGATGTTAAATACCGATTCAATACATTTGAGGTTCCATGTTGAAGGGAAAGCATTTGTGGTATTCAAGATTAGCTTTATTTTTATGTTATTGCTTTGATAATAATGAAATTCAGAGACCATGGTACGTTTGCACGGCTACTGTGTTTTAATTCCAACCACTTCATAAATTAATAAGTATGAACATGTTTCACTTAGGTTCTGATAAAGAAGAGGTGTGAGAATAGAAATCTCAACAAGAAACATTTGTTCTTCAGATTTCTATTCTCGTTTTAGTATAAGAACCACGAAATATTAATTCTTCACTGGTATATATTGAGAACCTTTTAAATCCCTGCCATGAATGTGTTCACTTTTAACATTGTGTGCTATTTGCTGTACTTCTTGTTGGTGTTTTGTATTATTGAAGCAATGTTTGTAATTGTATTATTTTTTTATAAAAAGACAATGTTATTTCTACTCATAGCTTGACTTGTAAGACCTTGTTCAGTAATTTTAATAAAATAATGATCAAAATTTTACTATTTCTAGTTACCTTTCTACTATGATAAAAACCTCTTTTTATACAAATTTATGAATTCAAAGTTAAATAACAGAGCGTTAGCCAAGTTGATATTCTACAAGTTACTATTGTAATTTATATCACTCCAATAATAGGAACTATAAAAATCAATGATAAGTAACTGAGTATTAAGATATGTCGTTCCCATTCTTTTTTATTTTTTATATATATAATTGTTATCTATCTAATACATAATAGTCTCGCTAAAACTCAAAAAAAGAACGGGTCCCTGGATGGTTTATATTCACATTTGGAGCCGGTAGGTGGCGCTGATGTCGACATCCAAAAATCACCCATGCGAAGCCGCGACGAATCGCTAGTTATACATAGTTTTCTATTAGCGTTGAACAGTAGAATGTGAACTTGGCTAACCGCACAGTGATGTGATTATTGTGAGCGTCGTGTTCTGTATGTGTCATGAAGGTTAGAGAACAGGAGAACGATCACCGTAGAAAATAGTGTCCAGAAATATGGACACCATAAGTGAGGCGCTGCGATCGCTCGAGGTTCGGTCAATAAAAGTAATTTTAAGTTTATTTTTCCAATCAGATGCTAAACCACTTGCACATCCACGCACAATAAAATATATCTCCATTTTTTAATGTTTCTTTTTGTCAAAATTTACAAAATTACGGAGCAAGAAAATTTTCTCATTAAAATGAAATTAAAATTTGTACATTATTCAACTAACTTCACTACTACTACACTACACTACTTGTACTGATAATCAGCTAACTTCGCAGTTACTACTCACCGACGTCAGCGCCGCTATATATTCTACAATTTTCAAGTACAGGCGGGCTATGCTTTAGTGCGTAGTGATTGTTCTCTAACCTTCATGGTATGTGTCATCAATATGTGTAATGTTGGTTGGAGCGCCCTCTGTTATCTCTTCTTTGGTAACTCTTCATTATATATGCTTTGCAACTATTCAGTGATCTATTTAAAAAGGGATTGTAACAATATTCTAAAATTTGAATTGAATTTCATTAGAACTTTGTGAAACAGCATTGCATACCTAATTTTGTATAATTTGCTTATTATACTGTGTCTTTTCATTATTTAAAATTCTTGGTTAAATTATAACAAATGGAAAATTATTGCAGGGAATGATAGAGAAGATTACTAACTAGCAAGCAAAGATACAAGTTTGGATATTTATTTATAGATATTGATGAAAGTAAAATTTTAAAAATGTCGGACAGTAATAAAAGATTACTTTTTTTAAATGTTTTTTCCCAGCTAACAGGAGTAAATCTATCCTTTCTATAAAGATGATCGGAATAAAATTAATTTTGAATTAGAAACTAACTATACTCAAAATTTTCAAACATTCTCCCATTATTATAGTCTAAGAAGAACACAGGACAAAAGAAGCTTAGTATTGTATTGTCAAAGATTCCACTTCGAGAAATACATCAAATTTACGTGTGTTCTGTGCCCATTCTAGAAGAAATTTGTAGCCCCACATAGTCAGGCCACGAGAAGGTCAGAACAGTATTTTATTTTTATTACTTAATACATTTTGCAATAAGCTCTGCGTGAAACTCATTATTTGTAAACATGCAAATGCATAATTATGCAAGCGTAATAAATTCCATTTGAGACATAAATTATTATAACCAGTGCGGTTTCTTTGCTTTTAACACTTAATACTAAATACTAGTTTGTAACTCGCTAGGGCGCTGTGACGTCGATATAGTAATAATAAAAATAAGTTTTAATATAACTCCGTGTTTATTTTCAACCTTCATAAAAATACTGTACTAAAGAAAATTATCAATTGATTTAAAATATAAAGTGTAAAGTTAAGACTTATCCTAGTAAAGTTCATTTTGCCCGAAAAGTCTGATTATTAACTATATTTTTCTTTCTCTAACCATATTGCATTATACCCCAAAACTACACCACTGCAACAGAAAACGTTTTCAAACTACTGGACTGGACTGGACTAGAAAGAATATGATATCAACGTAAATGGCGAATAAACCAGTCACCTTCAATATTATTATGGCAAAATCACTGGTTGATCTCAGCACCAAGCTCTATGACCTCAATAGCCTTCTAACTAATCATCTTAATCTAACTAAACCTAACCATGTATAAGACAAACAAAGGTCACATGTAACGTGCATGTGACACACCTATATCGGTGGTTTCTGTATATGTTTAGCTAGAACAAGTTTTCACTTAATGAATGAAGTACATTCAAACCCGAAAACTTCCAATTTTGCACAATTATTGGTTCCATGTGTGATTCGAACCCAGGTATTTATGTCACGGTAGTTTAGATATTATATATATTTCAGAATACGTGAATTGCACACGTATTTTAAATATCGCAAAGCGTCGCCACTGCGCTCCAGGTTGGAAAAAGTATTTAATCTAACGTGCAACTCTATAATACCAAAAAAACGTGTGTGCAAGCAAATCGGATGAACGACTAAAAAACGAGTGCAGTTGACAAAATTAAATTTTCACGTTAATTTTGCCATCCAATGGCGACAAAAGCCTAACTTATTATTAACTGTAACGAAGATAGGATAAATGAGATTTTTTATCTTTAGCTACAAATTAAAAAAAAATCTGAATTTACCTAAATTTGGAATGCTTATTTATTTACGCCCAGACTAGATAAGGCTTAAAGATACCTATAGGAGGAGCACAATACGGGGTCCTTACTTTGAAACTCGACCTCGATCTTTTGCTTCCCCTTCAAAGCGGAACTTAACTGCGCTGATGGAGGGAAATTGAATGTGCGAGGATCCAAATAATTTAAGGAAAACGTCACATCAAACAGCGTAGTAAGCTTTTTCTTTCTTTAAAATCATGTCTTAGGCTACGGTCTCCTATTAAATGCTATATGCGACGTCCGACTTCAGCGTAAACGTTCCGATCGGCGTCTGAACGCCAGACACAGAGCTCAGAGCGTCAGCGGTCAATACATATCTTACAAACGGACGACGTCTAGACTTTCGATCGAGCAACAATTAAGTAGCTGACAATGCTCACGTGTGGTTGTGTATCATATTTATACATAAAATGGATATAAATTCAATGCTTTTGGGGGCACTTGTGTTACTTGAAGAAGAGGCACAAGACGACCGTATACGAAAAAAAATAAATGCACAAGGCACCGATTATTTATGAAGAGATATGAAGAAGGATGTTTCCAGCTATTGATAATAAAGCACTTAAAAGACAGCAATTCTAAATTAACTGAATTTTTTCGTATTAATCAGGAACAATTTAAACATAATAATAATACAGTAACTCGTCTTTTTCTTTATTAAATTTTGTACTGACGCTAGACACGAACTTTACGCTGCAATGGTTCGAAATAACTAGAGACGCAGCGCAAAGCGTCTTAACGTCGCCTACGACGTCCATACGCCGACATCAGCTTGTGAAAGAAACCACAACAGTACATTTCTATAGTAAGCATCGTAACGCGGCGTACGGCGTGACGCTGTAAGCGGCCGATGGCGTTTATAGGAGACCACCGCCTTAACGAGAGCAAACCTGCGTTCAGCGTAGAAAGTGAATGATTATCATAATATTTCGTGATTATTAAAAAGAACTCGAGATCTAAAATTAATGTGAATTCAGGCTGAATATGTTCGAAATACAAAAGTGGATTCGATTTATTAAGGTTATTGGGCTGTACGGTTATGGGACTTAAAATGTTGAATTTGGCAAAACATTCTAACCACCAAACAATATTGTCCGAGGGTCAAAAATGTTGAATTTGGCAAAACATTCTAACTACCAAACAGTATTGTCTGAGGGTTCTGCTTTCATCTGGGTCACAGGAAGTAATAAAGCGTGCCTTTTAGTTATATATTATAAACTCAGATCATATAAACAACAGGAGATATGGCAAGGAGGCGTGGCACTTGCGAACGCATCTGGCCGCAAAGCGGCCTGATGCCAGTTTCGGTAATTAGTCGAATGTCAACTTGTGACGTCTTCACTGCTCGTGATTTTTGACAAAATGCCGCGTTGTTCAGTGATTGTTTGCAAAAATAACAGCTGTATTGTGAATTACATGAAAGATGGCATCTCATTTCACACGTAAGTACTAAAATATTAATGTTTTTCTTATTCAATTTATTAAAATATTACTTCGTGGTACTAGAAACACGATGAAAAACCAAAATAAATGTTTTCATTAGGAACAAAAACCATTGCTTGCTTAGTACAAATCGACCTGTGAATCAGCTGGTCTAATAGCGCAATGGATAAGTGTTTTATTGATACTCTCACTCACACGATAGTTTCGTTAAGCAGCCGCTGCCGGCTTTTGTGAGTTAGAGATGTGAATGCGTGTGTGTGCGCTACTGCGTATCTATCAATTTAATGAACTGCATGTGTAGTAGTTTGCGAGTGGCGGGGGCAAACTGAAGACACCGGGTTCCGATACATTTTAACTACCGGGCATATCTCCTGTTGTTTATATGATCTGAGATTATAAAGTACCCTGGTAAACTTTTTTTAATAGGATAAGTGTAACAAGCGAGCACACGGTTTACCTGATAGTGGTTGCTGTAGCCCATAGACATCTACATTTATCCTCGTTTGCAAATCAAAATGCAGATGTGTTGTCAACAGCGAGGACTAAAATGCAATGCCTCTTCCAGTAACAAGGGTCTCCGGTTCTCTACACTCACCATACGAAACACAGCAGCAATAAGCTGCTATTTTACGCTGGTATTCTATAAGAGCGTGGTCCTTCCCCGGGCGAGTCGTCCCCATTCGTGCTACAACTAAGTATACAATTAATATAGCTGCGGCATGGTTCTATCACGTTAAAATAACTAATATAAGATGGAGCGGATAATCGTGGCAAGCCGGATCGGTCGGAACTTTTCCCTGCCAGCAGTCGTGTCGGCGATGCTGAGCGAGGATTCGACGTGGAGGGCCGTAGCCACCTTCTGTGAGTCCGTAATGGTCCAGAAGGAGGCTGCTGAGCGGGATCGGAGGAGGACAGATCACGCTCGGAGACGACACCGTCAAGGCGCTCGTCACGACCCCCCCCCTTGAAAATGGTGATCCCTTACCAGAAACTAGGCCTCTGGGGTTGCAATTATTTGGGGCGGGGGCCCCATGCCTAGTAATGTAGCCCCTGAGGAGGACGATGGCTCGGAAGTGGTCCCGAAACATTGCGATGGTACTGCGAGGGTGCTGGGGGTAGTATGTACTGCCTCCGGGACGTGCTTTCAACAAAGCAAAGCGAGAGAGGAGCCCCGGTTACGATTCGAACGGAGATCCCGGGACGGAGATGGACATTACACGCTGATGGAGACCACCGTGGGGTTTTAGCCGGTAGGAGTCCGGCATAACCTTTTGGGTGCCCCCGCAGCCAAAGGTGTCCATGAGGATTTCCCACGAAAAAAAAATAACATAGGATAAGGTATGTTGCGCAACCTTGCGGATTTGCCGGTGTGTCAGAATGTAAATATGATAATTATTAAATTATTACTCAGCAGAAAACACCGCTTTCCACAAGTAATGACAGACAATGATAATGCATCAATTTTCGTGAATCGTCCTGTCAGCCAAGTCGGAACCTCAGAGTAATAACTAGCACAGAGAAAATCCTAAAATAAAAACAAAATACTTATTTCTGAACTTTTTATATCGTACAAAATAAGCTAGATCCTCACCTTATTTAGACACCAATAAGCTAGGGAAAGACCGGGGAATCGAACGGCTTGCGGAAGCTTTGGAGAGCATGGTGAAATGTAGGCCCGCCGCCGCGAAGCAAACACAGGACCTGCCTATTTTTAACGGTGCACCCGCGGAATGGTTAGCATTTAAAACTGCGATGAAATAATCCACTAGGTTGTACGGATTCACTAATACGGAAAATATGGCACGGAGAAATTATTTACGTGGTGAAGCTAGGGAAGCCGTCTCCGCGTTAGTATTTACCCCGAGGGACCCAGCCGATATAATGCGTACGTTAGAACAATGTTTTGGCCGACCGGAAGTAATTATTGAACGAGCGTCAGAGGACTTACGACGCCTTCCGCACCCGGGTCAAACCGCTCAGGAATTAAATGCGTTCGCGATTAGATTACAGAACATAGTCTGTATAATGAAAAACGTAGACGGCAAAGGATATTT